GGCTGCTCTAATTTTCTTCTCGTTGAGTTTTTTAGTGCGGACAGAGCTCTCCGACAGTCCAAATTGACGTTCCACACTTGGCGCATTATTTCCTCGCTGCAGTGCTTCCAGCACCTTGATTTTCTGCTCCAGTGTAATTGCTTGCCTTGATTTCTTGCCCTGTGGGGTAGTTAATGATGTAGTAGCTGGCCTCTTGGACATAGTGGTGATGGTTGATACACGTGGTAGGAGAGATAGTGTCACACAGTATGTCAGGTCACTAGAGCATCAGTGTGAGAACTGAGGGTGTGGGAGGGTGGCAGGCAGCTGTGTAGCGTGGCCAGAGACGCGTCTGGTGGGAAACATTAGGTCCAAAATTTATAATATGATGCACCAGATTGACTCGCGCAAAATAGGAAAGATTTACTTTAAATTAAAACATTGTCCTTGATTGTGGGTGTCGCTTTAAATCAATAATCTTAAATCGATTCGCGTTAAATCAACGTTCTACTGTATAATACTTTTTGCCGCTAATCATTCACTCGTTTCATTGTTAAAGAACACGGTCCTTGAATGGTTTGTTTAGACAAACATCAAGTGGTTGTACAACTGAAGTTAATCCACCAGAAATAACTGCAATGTCACTGTTGTTCCTCTCCATTCTGGTCTTTGTTCCCTCTGTTAAATGACTCGCGAACATATCCCATACTAAGAGGCTACCAGTACGCTTTTTTCAAAAGCCACCAGGTCGCCTACACCATATATGATCAATCCATAACTTTATTCCTTGTTCGTCCATCCACCCTTTCTCGTTGACGTGAACAAAAACTCCAGCCGGAAACTTGATGTTTGGCATTGTTCAGCTTGGTTCCATCTGCCATGCATGAAAGTGCTACTGTAATTCTTGTCTTTTCATGTCCTGTTGTTTTCACTAACACTGTTTTTGCTCCTTTTTTATCAACAGTATGATTACCGACCATGTCGAAGTTCATTGGTGTTTCATCCATGTTCCCGATGTTGCTTAATGGATAACCGTGTTTCTTACGTTGTTGTATTATGTATCGATGGAAATTGGTAATTTTACAGTCAAGATTTGCTGGTAATTTTTGTGCTATTTTTGTTTACTGCCTCAATACTAGATCATTTCTTTCCATAAAACAGCTACACCATGAAGCAGTGGCTTTGAAGTCTTTGCTGTGCTCTTGGTTTGCTTTAGCCCTCTTAAGTGCCCAAATACGTGTTTTGTTTCTTGATACAGCGTATCCATTTTGACGCTGCTCACGGACCATGTCTACTGCATGCTACTCTAGATTTGGCCAGTGTGCAGTGCCTCTTCTCATTGCACATTTCTTCCTGGGCATACTCCTTAGCAAATGTTCCTTCAATTTCCAATCTCGTACCCTCTTCTCGGTTACACCACATTCTCTAGCAGCAGCACAATTGTTGCGTGACTTGGCATATGCTGCCACTTTCAGCTTAAAACAAGCTTCATATCTCCTTCGCTTAGCATTTGGAGCCATGGTGAGGTTTTATGGTAGCTGGATATTAATATAATGTTCACCTGGAGACAGTACTACTGCTTATGAAGGCGTGGCAACTTGAGCCTAGCCAAGAAACCGTCTTTAAATACCGTACCGATATTTAAAGACGGCTGTTTGTTTACTTCGGCGGCAGTTGCAAATGGCGGGCGGTGCGTGATGATGCCTGCGTTTATTATGTTGTTATTTTACGGTAATTACGGTATGTTGGACAAGTTTATCATATATTATGATTATTTTAATATACACACTAAACCACAGAATGTAGAGGTTCTGATTTTATACCAGGCATTTAAGACGACCCCTAATTTTGGACTGATTTTTTTAAGGTTCAAATTGCGTCTTATACGCTGACATATACGGTACATGGTAAGGCGGTAACAGTATTGTACTCCCTATTAATAATAATAAATTAGTTTATTGTAAACAGTTTCAAAGTTAAACAATTGATTTATGAACACCAAATGTCTATATAAACAATTTCATGGATGAGCCTAATTCAGACAAATTTCAAATTACTTAAGTCAAAAATGAAAAAAAATTGCTATGGTAAACAATAAAATTGGTATGTACATAAAATATAAAATACAATGGAACATGTGTACAAAAAAATAGCTCTTTCCATACTCAAAACCATCCTCTGTGCGACTCAACACAGTTCAGTCGGGACAGTCACCCAGCTGACTCGGAGGCGTGTGTGTATGTTGTGATGTCACATCAGGTGAGGGAGATGCAGCTGGTCTTGTGAAGCAGTTACAGTCCAGTGTCTCCACACATACTGTACACTCACTTCACACACACCCATGCTCTTCCCTTTTCTTATTTTATTGTTTTATCCTATGCTATGTATTTTCTTTATATCTAAGCCACTTAAGAGTGCAATAGTGTAATGATTTTTTCACCACCTTTTTTGTTTCATTACATTTTACAGTGACAAAATGCTATCTCACAGTTTTCCCTTTCCCAGTAAGTCAAGCTATTGCTAAACCAAATTTTGACCTCTTGTTAAGTGAGAAAGGGTGTAAAAAATTGTTTCGCTTAACCAAATTAACATCAAACAAGGGATACCTGTACAGTATTGTAATTTAGTCCTATCATTAAAAACTTAAGAAACTACTGTACAAATTTGCTATATTACCTTAATGGACCATATTCATATAAGCTTTCGTACAGTGAAAAGAAAGTGTACGAATAGAATATTCATGGAGCGAACATTTGCATATCAAGGGATACCTGTATTTTAAGTACAGTGGGGTATGCTATAACGAATCTAATTGGTTCTAGAACCTTGTTCGTTATAGCATTCGTTTGTTATAGGATTAATCCGTTCCAGGCCCCCAAATGCAACCACTTAACACTGAAAAAATTCTGTGGAAAATGTAAAAAATACGGTACTTTATCTTACCTTAGTGTTGTTCAGCATGCAGGACAGGAGGCAGAGGGGGAGGGGGGAGGAGAGAATTATGGAGAAGAGGTGGAAGGAGAGAAATCATCCTTCCTAGCCCCCTTTGGTGACTGTCTCACAGGCACTTTGTCTGTAGGTTCTTTTGTTACCTTTGTAAAGAAGGAATCCAGGGTTGGCTGCTTCAACCTTGATTTCTGGACCTTCCAAAAGTAGTTCATAACATTGTCATTAAACACACTGATGGCCTTTTGCACAGAACCAACATCAGGATGATAATCCTCATCAAGTTTGGACAGTTTGCTCCAGCAAAAGAACGCATCCTTATGATCTTTGGCTGGAATGATGCGGCTTTCCTCCTTGTCCTCCTCCTCCCCTGACTCCTCAGAAGTTAAGCTCCGCTTCAGTGTCTCGCTTTGTTCTTTGTGAAGCTCAAGCAGCTCCTCAGTGGACAGTTCCTTACTGTGCTCTTCCACCAACTCCTCAACATCATCATCATCCACTTCCAGGCCCATGGAATTGCCCAGAGACACAATTTCATGAACAACAGCCTCTTCTTCTAACTCTTCGAAGCCTTCAAAGTCTCTTTGAAGGACACATTCAGGCCACAATGGCCTCCAAGGAGCACAAAGACACCTCACAGTAACCTCTTTCCAGGCTGAGGTAATTAAAAATACAGCATCTGCTATATTGAAGTGACTCTTCCAAGATTCCTTCAAGCTAACATCACTGGAAGAAGTGGACGCAAAACATTTTCTAAACAGTGCCTTTGTGTACAGCTTCTTAAAGTTAGAAATTACCTGTTGATCCATGGGCTGGATGAGAGGTGTTGTGTTGGGTGGCAAGAGGTGCACAGTGATGAAGTTGAACTCCTGGTGCATTGTCCATCACCAACAAAGCTTTCAGTGGAAGATTATTCTCCCTGAGGTATTCCCGAACACTGGGTCCAAACACCTCAATCACCCACTCGGAGAATAAATTCCTGGTCACCCAAGCCTTTGGGTTTGACCGCCACATAACACCAAGGCGGGTCTTCCTAATGTTTTTGAAAGCTCTGGTGTTTTCTGCATGGTACACAAGGAGTGGCTTTATTTTGCAGTCACCAGAAGCATTAGCACAAAGAAGGAGGATAAGCCTGTCTTTCATTGGCTTATGGCCAGGGACAGAAGTTTCCTCCCTTGTAATGTATGTACGGCGAGGCATTTTTTTCCAAAAAAGTCCAGTTTCATCACAGTTGAATACCTGCTGTTCCTTAGTTGCTTCCTTATCTGCACTAGCAGCATCACCATGTCTCACAACACTATGTAATTTATTTCTCTTTCTGAAACCAGTAAACCACCCCTTGGTACCCCTAAACACTGGCACATCACTATCACTTGCTCTGGGAGTCTTGGCTTTAAGGTCCTCAAACAATTGTCGGGCCTTCTCACAAATTATAGCTTCACTAATGCTATCACCTGCCATTTCTTTCTCCTTTATCCACACTAAGAGTAAACTTTCTATCTCCTCAATCACATTACACCTTGCTTTGCTAAGTCTAGAGATTCCCTTAGCCACTTGCACAGTTTTCAACTCCTCTTTATTCATTAAAATCGTACATATAGTCGATTTAGCCATCCCATACTCATCACTAAGTTGCGCAATGCTTGTTCCATCCTCACATTTCTTTATGATTTCTTTCTTAGTTTCAAGAGTTATGAGCTTTCTCACTCGCTTTGGACGATTCATTGTCACAATTGTACACTTGTATAACAAAATATTTATACAAATAACTCTATTTCCACATCAAAAGACGAAATTTCAACAATAACAGTGGTGCACTGGCTACACAATGAGACAAAGATGGCGCCTGACGCTCTTGTTGTGGGTCGCAGTACAACATTATTCATGCGCCAGGCGAAATAGTCCCGTATTCATCCGCATTCGTTGTAGGAGTTGCGTTCGTTATAGCATTCTCAATTTTATAGGTAAAACCGTTCGTTATAGGAATATTCGTAGTAGGATCCGTTCGTTATAGCATACCCCACTGTAACATTAAATTTTAGTCAAATGAACATAGTTACAGTACTCATTACTTACAGATAGCTGAAGCGTCTCGAGAAAGAGCCCAGATACTAAATCCTATGGTGGAGGTTTCATCTGATTCAAGCAATGTTGAAGACAAAACAGAGGATTATTTCACTCAGTTTGATGTTGTCTGTGTGAGTCGTTGTCAACGTGAACAGCTCGTCAGAATCAACAACATCTGTCACCAGAAAAACATATTATTTTTTGCTGGTGATGTGTTCGGGACATTTGGCTACATGTTTACAGACTTACAGGAGCATCATTATGTTGAGTGAGTACAACAGCAAATGGGTTTAAGACATTAAATATCACACCTTAATGATCTGCAATTAACTTTTATAGTCTCAGTATACTTGGTGTTAAGCTGCATTGTGATATTAATTTTTCTCAGTAAGGCTCATAGATAAACAGTTTACAGTATGTGTGTGTGATAGATTTCTTTGGTAGCTACTTTAGAATTGAATGGGACCATTTATTGGTCATATATAGTAATGCCTGAGTTTTTCCAATAAGTTATTATTGAATGTGGATTTCTGGATGAGTCTTGAAAATTTTGTTGAGAGTTTATAAGCTAAAGTGTATTTGCAACAGTAATGATTATCTTGCAGAGAGGTAAAAGAGAAGAAAGAAGTAGAGCACGGTGGTAAGAAACAAACTGTTGAAGAAACAAAAATGGTGAAGCACAAAGAATCATTTGTTTCTCTAAATCAAGCTTTAGATATAGATTGGACTTCCAAAAAGTATGCCTCTCAATTAAGAAGAACATCTCAAACATACTTCATCATGCACAGTAAGTCATGTACTGTACAGTAATGCTGAATGTACAGTAGAAGTCCAAAAATCCGGACTGCTTGGGGATTGGGTCGGTCCGGATTTTCGGATTTTCCGGATTCTCAGGCAGTACTTTTAAAATTCAAATTTAAGGAGGAATAAAGAAGAGATGAACAGGTACATTTTGATAGTTTATTCATTAGCAAATATAGCATGCTTCATTTATCAAAACGAGCAGTTTTAAAGAAAAAGCTGTGAATTCTAGAATTTTAATCCTTGCCTTTTTTATATCATAAATTGTAGACTTTCCAATGTCGTATGTTTCCATTAGAAAAGTATTGCTCACACCATGTTCTAGTTTCTTAATTATTTCAAGTTTGTCACTCAATTTCAACGTGTTCTTCTTTCTCTTCACACAACGAAGTTTATCTACTTTAGGAGCCATTATTATGGGCTTGTACAGTACTCTGTAAATGGAAAGAGTAAGATTCAAAATTACATACATTGTCACAGTTTGATTGCTCGTTTTAAAGTGGCAACCGCGTGGTCGCTTGTTGTCGCTGTGCAGCTGTGGCGCTCATGCATGCGCACATACACACAAAAGCCAGCTAAAAAAAAAAAGTTTTCGAAAAGTCCGGATTCTCAGGTGGTCCGGATTTCTGGCATCCGAATTTTTGGACTTTTACTGTACTAGAACATGTAATTTAGACTGATTTAAGAAACTGTAGTAGCTCTGTAGTCTGCTTGGCTTTTCTGGTAGTGTGATATTTGTATTATATTTTTTTCCCTCTTGCCTTTAGTTCTCCAGTACAACCACCTCTCGGTTTACACGGTAGTTACGTTTTTGAGAATGGCTGTGTGAATAAAAAAAATATACTGTAGATCAAACTTAATTATCCCATAAGAAATAAAGTAAATGGCAGGGGTTAGGGAAAACACTCCCTAACTACCAGTTGTCTCCAGTAGGCACATCATTATCATTTTAATTATTTTGCGGAAATTTCGGTTTAAAAGAAAGGGGTGGCTCAAATTAGTTCGTTAAATTGAGAAAATACTGTACGTGGAATACCCGGATTATGAACGGGTTCCGGATTTGTACTTAAGTTGGAACACATGCAACTTGCATACTGTACAGTAGGGTCGGGATATATCGCGAGATAGGGTCCAAGGATGTTTGCTATATACTAAATTGCGATTTATAATTACATGTAATCAATGGGGAAAATAAGGTTAGGTTCTGGAGGCCAATTAAAGTGACTAAATTTGACATAAAATGGCGCAGTCTAAAGTTAGCAGAATATAAATTATATTGCTAGAAACCTTGTAAGATAGCAAATAATTTTAATATAGACATCATATATTTTGCATAAGATATAATTTTTTTTTAGTCTCTTAAGAGTACAGGGACTCCCCTACTTATGAACTGGTTAGGTTCCTGTTTGTAAGTTCAACATTACTCTTGTCAATACTGTATACAGCATTGTAAAAAATGTTGTACAGACAGCTATACCCCAATAATACTCGACAGTATTTCTTACCAGCCTTAAACGGTATTTTAATGTATAAATAGCATGTATAGTAATAGTAGCATGTATACTCTAATAATAGCATGTACAGTATAGTAATAATATATGAAGGTATTTATCAGGTTACTGTACTTACTTTATTCCTGGTGCTGCCTTGCTTGCTGGGACTGATGTTGCTTGCAGGGGTGTTAGAGTTAGTTGGAGGATGGAGATGAGGGTGGAGATGAAGGATCAACAGGGTCTGGGGCACTGGGAATGGCTTTAAAGGTTGTATAACCTCATGTAGATGGCATTGGTTCTTGATGTTCCGTAGATTATAATTTCCCTTGCTCCTAGTGTTCCATCTCAACTCTCTTGAAAAACTTATCAAGAGATGTCTGCACAGTTAATCTCTTCTTTTCTTCATAAATTTTCTTGTAGCAGGCAATAGCATCGTGAACAGCTGCACACTTTTGTAAATCTTTCAGTGTTTGGGCCTGAGACTCAAAAGAAGCTAGTACCTTTTCAATCATGCTGAAATCTTCAGCCAGCTGCTTAGAGTTGAACTTTTGGGGTTCCTCAGCCTCCTGTTCCTCCTCAGGGACCTCCTCCTGAACCCTGTGTGACTCCAGCTCCATCAAATCTTCACTGGTCAGCTCCTGAGTGTGGCATTCCAACAATTCGTGGACATCATCTTCCTCCATTTCCAGTTCCACTGGGTTGTTGGCTACTGAATCCACATTCTCTATAAATCCCCTGAAGTCATTGGCAAATTGTGGGCAGAGCTTCTTCCAAACACTATTCATGTTGGAAGCATCAACGTTCTTAATGGCCTTGTAGATGTTGTAGTTCTTCCAGAACTCTCTGTGTCACTCCACTCTCCCCTTCTGTCTCCTTCACAGCCTGTGTGAAAGTTCTCTGCAGGTAGTATGCTTTAAAACTTGCTATGACACCTTGGTCCATAGGCTGCAGGACAGAGATGGTATTGGGAGGCAAGTACACCACCTTGATGTTGGCATGGAAATCGTCCAGGAATGATGGATGACCAGGGGCATTATCTAGCACAAGCAGGATCCTGAAAGGCAGGTTTTTGTTGTTACAGTACTTTTCCATATCAGGTACAAAATTATGGAAAAACCAGTCTTCAAAGAGGACTTGCCTTAGGGTTAGCCTTCCACACAACAGGAAGTGAAGCTTTGACAACACCCTTGAGGGCCCTGTGGTTTTCGGAATGATACTCTAATAAAGGTGTTAGTTTGCAGTCACCAACAACATTTCCACCAAGCAGGAGTGTAAGTCTATCCTTCGATGCTTTAAAACCAGGCATAGTCTTCTCTTCTTTGGTGATGTATGTACGATCAGCATTTTCTGCCAGTATAAACCGGTCTCATCCACATTAAACACCTGCTCTGTTAGGTAACACCCCTCATCAATAATTTCCAACAAAAGATTAGGAAACTCCCTGGCTGCTACCATGTCAGCACTGGCAGCTTCACCACTCACTCCTATGTTGTGCAGGTTTGAACTAGTGTTTCTTCAGCAACACTCTCACTGTTTAGCCTTTATGTCTTCGAAGAGACTTATGGCCTTCCTCTGAATTAAGTTAAGGCTTCTAGGCATGCGGTGCTGATGCTGGTCTTCCAGCCACACACTCAAAAGTTTTTCCATCTCTGTGATCACTGAGCCTCTTTTCTTACTAACGATCATGGAATGCATTGGCACAGAACCTTTCACATGTTGCATAATGCCCTCTTTGTCCTTCAAAATTGTCCCAACAGTCGAACGATTCACCCCAAGAGCATTTGCTGTGCTTATCATTTTCTCACCTCTTTCACAACGCTTTATAATGTCCACCTTAGTTTTCAACGTAATAGTGCGACGCTTCTTTCTACCACCATCACCACTGGCATCACTCTTACGCTTCTGAGACATGTTGGGGTCAATAATATTCGTCAAAACCACAAAGAACCACAAATAACACCGTGAGGCAGCAGAGGAACACCAACAACAATGGTGCTAGGAATACAGGGTGACGCTGAACAGCCAACGTCATCTATCGCGCGGCGGTTGAACTTACGACCCGGCATGGTTTTCAAACAGGCAATTGGACATATGGACAGGTTTGTTTGTATCTCTGAAAGTTCGTAGCTTGAATGTTCGTAAGTAGGTGAGCTCCTGTGTGTGTGTGTGTGTGTGTGTGTGTGTGTGTGTATATATATATATATATATATATATATATATATATATATATATATATATATATATATATATATATATATATATATATATATATATATATGTATATATATATATATATATATACTGTATATATATATTTCATGTAGATCCACAATGAAAACATGGATAAGATAAATCTTGATAAAATAACACCGGAAAAGGGAAACAACATCCTAGATACGTTCTTTGGAAACGTGACGTTAACCGAAATGGACGTTGTCCGATCATCACAGAAACTTTGTATTTATACTTACGTGTATGTGGAATACTATACAGTTGTACCCCACTTAACGCGGTCAATTGAACCCAGAGGGTCCCGCGTTAAGTGAAATCCGCGTTAAGTGAACAACAGAACATATGGGATTAATTCCAATAGAAACCGGCCCGACCCCCAAACTCCACTTTTTGAAGGCACATACCTATGTTGTAGTAAAAATAACATCTTAATTTTATGATGGTACATGCACACAATTAATACTTAAGAGAAATAGAGAAATACAGTCGCCAAGTTAATGTCCATTCAAATAATGGACTCAACTCCCTCCCACTCTCACACTACACTGCCGGCTCTTCCCTCTCAGAGAAATTTTTGGGGGAAAACCACTAAATTTTAATAAATAATACCTCAAACTAAAGTTAGGATAATACAATTGACATTGCTGGATTCCTTGTAAGACCAGGAATATTTTGAATATAAATGTCATATATTTTGCACAAAAGATAACATAGTTACCTAGAGAAAAATTTTTATCTAAAATTTGTATGTTTAATGCAAAATATATGATGTTTATATTCAAAATGATCACCAAATTATAAGAATTCCAGCAATGTAAATTATATTCTGACCGGGTAATTTGTATGAATTTTATGAGCTAAAACAAATATCTTCAGTTAATAAAAAAAAAATAATCTTCACGACACTATCTGTCAATCAAAGTACCCCACCTTGCCTCCCCCCCTCTTCCAACCGCGCGGTCAGTCCCAACCCTCCCCCCCACCCCCCACCAATCCTCCCTTCCAGAGTTTTTAACATTTAGTATTAAATAATACCTCAGATTAAAGTTAGGATAATATAATTGACATTGCTGGATTCCTTGTAAGACCAGGAATATTTTGAATATAAATGTCATATATTTTGCACAAAAGATACCATAGTTACCTAGAGAAAAATTTTTATCTAAAAATTGTAAGTTTAAAGCAAAATATATGATGTTTATATTCAAAATGATCACCAAATTATAAGAATTCCAGCAATGTAAATTATATTCTGGCCGGGTAATTTGTATGAATTTTATGAGCTAAAACAGGCAGTCAGGCAGGGTGGCGGGTGGGGCAAATCTAAAAATAGCGTCTCGAGCCGGACACTCACCGCGTATATGTGGAAAAAATCCGTGTTAAGTGAAAGTTCAGCTCTGGCGAGGCACCGCGTATATGATAAAACGCGTTAAGTGAAACCGCGTTAGGCGGGGTAATACTGTATACGTACATATACACTTTTACTCTTAAATCACTACTGTAATGTGATACAGGTGATTAATTTTTATCTCTTGTGCAAAATGTGGGATACTCAGGTGGTCCTTACACTCAGGGGTAAAGGAAACACACTGATGTCAAGTCCGTAAGTTCTATTTCTGGTACAAACACAAAAAGGAGTTAAGACAAGGGTAAACAGCGAATTGAAGATCCTTATGGAAGGCAGTTCGTTAACCGAGGCGTTCGTTAAACGAGGGGTCACTGTATTTATTTCTGAGAATATATTCATTCAGGCGCAGTTTAGGTAAAATATACATGTGATGTAACGGTTTTTTAACTGAAAACGATTCGAAAAACACGTCCCCTCTAGCCCTGTTCAAGGAGAGGACTGGGAGAAGCTGTTTGGTGCTGTAAACGATGACAAGGAAAATGATTTTGATGGATTTTAATGAAAATATTCAGAAATATGGTATTGTAGTATTTATTCAAGTGAATTAGGATAGAATATTATTGTAATACAACAGTAGTGACGATGTGGAGGAGGCGGAGGGATAGAGCGGGGAGGAGTGGTGAGTCGGTGACTGGCGGGAGCAGGGACGAGTGGAGATGCCAGCCAGTACATTACGGGTGTACAGTATTACAGTGGGGTATGCTATAATGAATCTAATTGGTTCTTGAACCTTGTTCGTTATAGCATTCGTTCGTTATAGGATTAATCCGTTCCAGGCCCCCAAATACAACCACTTAACACTGAAAAATATAATATAAAATTGTAAAAATTGTAAAAAAGTGCATACATATGCATCTAAACCCCTGAAATAAAGATTATCATTAATACTTGTAATAAAAAACAATAAATTAGAAAAAAAAATTAATGTTCGTTGTAGGAATTTA